AAACCAGTAGTCTAGACAGGCTTTCCAGAAAGATCATGAGCTTTTTAAAAGAGAAAAAACACACTGTGGTTCAGCTTTGGGAAATTTTCTCCCTGCAAGCATTCTGAAGTATTTAGTTCAAAATTAAGTTTTCTATTTTCAGTTAATAATTCAAAAAGTGGACCCAAATTATGTTAGCATTGTAGTGCAGACATTTATTAGAAGTCCAGCTTTTGTTTAAAGTGGTACCTGCATAGAGAGACAGGAACGAGCAATTATTTTATTCCACATGGAAAAAAAACTGTTCAAACCGAAACTGCAAGTACTGGCAGACCTACACTAAGCTGCAGATTCAAGTTTAGTCTGGCTCAATTGCTCTATCTACAAAAACGGGAAAAATGTGACTGTTCTGTCTCCCCCTTATACTCTAGAACCAAGCTCATAGCCTAAACCACACCACTAGGAAACAACACACTTGTGCTGCAGTACCCATACCATTTTTTAACTGAAACAGAATAACCTTAAAATAGATTTGTTTCCTACAGGCTCTACCTATAACCCAGATGGTGGAAACGCTTCTTTAACTCCAACTTCTGAATTAGGCAAGGAAACATTTGAACCAGAATCTTCCACGCTGAAAACAAGCATCTTAAATCAGGAATCAGGATATAACAGCTGAGCCAATACTTACCATGTTTGTAACTCAGCTCTGTACTTTTCAACTGACAAAACGAAAACCCTTCACTGGAGCAATCAGTTAAAACAATTTCTTTAGCCTTCATCCCCAAATTTTGCTACAAGTCCCAGGGAAGAATATTTTTGGGTGTGATCAGCTCTGAAACCTTCTATTTTTTCAGTCTGGTAATTGAAGAAATCCATTATTTTCACATTTCAGTATGCAAGTCAGACAATTCACGTCCATACTGGTGATTTTCATACCCACTCGCCTCACAGATCATCAGTTGAGCGTGGCTTCAAACTCAGCTTTTGAAGTTAAAACCTTGTTTCCTAATGATGTATATGATATTCAGTGCATTAATTATCTTTCTTTTTCAGCTCTTGCATAGGAGCTTTGAATTTTATCTGAAGTTAGAATGTGAGAAGTCCTAAACGGGACATTGGAACAAGAGATTTCTCCCCATCTAGAAGTATATCTTAGCTACTAGGCTACAGAAACTACCTTCAGCTTGCTTTCTTGCTTTCATTTTGACCCCATGAATCTCATGGTCCCTTAAAGCAACAAAGCTACTAACAGGGAAGGGAACAGACTGAAGTTCCTAACTTTTAGGAGCTAGAAGTCCCCTACGGAATTTAGATATTACCATTTACACAATGACAGCCCTGATGTGGCCTGTAACCTCAAAGCTCTGT